ACAGAGACTCTGACAAACTGAACAGAGTTCAAAGACGGTTAGGTGGCTTGGAGCAGAAACGGAGGGAATAAGGTTTGTTTACCCTAAAGAAAAGAAGGCTGAGGAGAGAACTCATCTGCGTTCTCCCACTACCTAATGAGGAGCATATAGAGAAGGTGGACAGACTCTTCCCAGAGGTGCAGAGCAAAGATGACGGGGGCACTGCAGCTAATAAATTCCGGTAAGAGGCAAGGGAAAAGTCCTTCACCATGAGAGCGGTGAAGCACTGAAACAGGTCGCCCAGAGAGGCTGGACATGATGGAATCTCTATCTCTGAAATTTTCAAAGCTTGACAGGGCAACTGCCTAAGATTTAACTTAAACATCAGTCCTGCTTTGAAAAGCTTGGACTACATGACTTCCCAGAGGTCCCTTCCAATCTAATTTTTTCCCATGATTCTTTGAGTTGGCCGGAACCAAATGGTAAGTAATGAGATGAGTCTGGATCCACTGCAGAGGAACAGACCCCAGCAAACTAACGTGCTTGCTGGTGTCAACTTCTCAACAATAACCAGGAGAGTTTCAGGGGGGGATTTCAAGGAGGGTAACAAGTATTCCCACAGTACAGCAAAGACAGGACCTTTTTAAAAACATCTAGTAAGTGGAAAACGAGGAAGGTGGTATGAGCTGACTGGAGACAAACAATACTGAGAGAGAGATGACAGGAAGGATGTAGACTGTACAAAGTGAAAGCAGATGGTTTGTTTGATGCAGTAGAGATAAGAACAAAAGTGCATAACAAAACTGTGGTTAAAAGGAACAGAGATGAGGTAAAAAATGGGAAGGAGGCTGCAAAAGTAATAGAAGCATAAAATGCAGATTCAGAACAAAGCCAACTTTAGAAAACTGCTTACTGAAGATGGGCCTCCACCGGTATTCTAACGACTCCCTCTGTGCTCTAGGGATGCTCTTCCAGCCTCAGCATCAACATGGAATTTGGTTTATCCATTCCAGTTAGTACCTCTGATCCAGCATATTTTCGCCACCGCTCACAGCTGAAGGTAGCTGTGCACAGTTTAGCCCCATTTTGTCACAATCACGTTCCAAAGGAAAAAACAATGTTGTGTTCCTTATTTTGGTCATTAGTTGTTGTCTGTATTCTGTATCTGTATTCTGTTTTATGTGCGTGTAACGTGATTTGCATACCTGCAAAGCAGCAAATGTCTTCTGACATCATGTTCGTCATTATTCTCACCTAACCTCCTCAGTAGCTGCATACTGTTTACCCATTTAGAACAAACTTGACTCTTTCATAGTTTAAAAGTAAACTCTGACTTACAATTCGTAACAAACAAAACCTAAAACAGATCATGCTTACACAGTTTATCATATTTATTAAGATTACTATTTATGCTAATCATGCATACTACAGAAGAAAAAAAAAACGCCCAAACACTTATCTACTCATCTTGCAGGCGAATAAATTGAAAATGAATTCAGTGATAGAGCAGAACTCTGTAGAATTTTCTGGTTGAAACTTTTAACCAGAACGTGAGATTTGGCTTAAATGAAAACTTGGAAAGGAATTCAAAAATTATTTTAGCCAAAAGCTGAGGGGGAACCACAAGGTTAAACTGAGTATCTGTTGAATGAAACATATTTACTTTGGAGAAACACTTCTGCAAACCCCGCAATTATATTTTAAAAATGTAATTACTCATTTTGGGTTAAACAGAACTTTTTGCTCCAGCAGAACACTTTCCCCAACCTACCTAAAACAAAGTCTGCTTTCTTTTTTCATTTGAAGGGTAAATTAAAAAAAAAAAAATCTTACTAGTTAGATGTGAAATGTGGAATTTACAAATACATACATTAAATACTTTGCTTTTGGCTCCAAGATTTCAATGCCACGAGGTGATTAACACTTTCTGATAGCCAATCAATAATTACAGAAAATAACTACTAAATTTGAACGTCCTCCTCATGACATTTTTTAGAAATCTTGCTTGTCAAAGATGAATCCCTTGCACTTCATAAAATCATTCTCTCTTCTAATATCTCATACTGGGCACCCAAAAGATGAGGCCACCAGAACAGTTAATGCCATGTCTGATTAAATAATTTCTGGCACATCTCTGTCTTTAGATATGAAACACCTAAAACCGTTATTACCGTCAAAGCATTTGCAAAAACAGATGGCATCCATATGAGTATTCTATATGGCACAAACTACCATATTCCATATAAGTAACATATGAATAAACATACAGTAGCACCACACAGGCAATTCAGATTCAGTCCAAGTCTTCTGGGATGAGGAGGAGTACAGAGGCAGTATTTTTGCCTTCAAAATCCTCACTTGTGAAAGCTAAATTTATTCCTATTTTAGAAGCTGTGTAACATATAGGAGGAGCAACGTCAGCCGATTCTGCGTTACACGATATGAATTAACTTGACGCTTCTCAACAATCCATCACAAATCTCCGCGACCATGTTTCTACTAGAGGGTAACAGTTGCCTGAGGCTACTAGTTAATATACATGTAGTTCTGGCAGGACAGCCAGTATCCTGCAAGTATCGAAAAAAATCTCAGTCAAATAAAAAAACATTTACACTATTCTAGCTTTTCCAGCAGATCACAATTATGCTGCTCGTTTTAACATTAAAATCTGAACTGCTTAATCTAACATGCTGTCTCAAGTGAACCTTAGCGGTTCTGTTTATCAAAGGAAGTATGACAAAACAGCATGCATATATGCAAATACGTGTGTACAAAACTGAATTTTACTCACTTTAAAAATAAATTTATCTGAAATCTTTCTATAATAAGTTCTAGCAAAGTTGGTCAGGATAGAACCCTAAGTTCAGCTACTTCACCGTGTGGCTAAAATAAATTTATCTGAAATCTTTCTATCTATAATCTTTCTATAAGATAATAAATCTTTCTACTTTGGACTTCTCCAAAGTAACACTGGCCTTTCTGATGACTCAGTGGGGCAATATTACTGTTGACAAAACTTCTACAACCATCTATGGATAATTCTTGATGGAATACTTAAGTTTAAGAGACAGTCGTTTCTTCTCTTATGATGCAATCACTGAGTGGCTGTGGACTCTCAAAAGCAGTGAAACTGCCCACTGAAACAATGGTAACGTGTGACTACTTAGATACTTGTGATGAGGTGAGGGAAGGGGAAAGTTTTTAGGCATATCCAAAGCTGAACTGTGGGTGTAATGGCATCTGGTCAGCTCAGGGTTTTTAGCAATACAGGTTCAATTAAATTCTGTGGCAGTGACAGAATGGGTTGGGGACCAAGGAGGAGACTGGAGAGCTGGGAAACATGCGGAAATTTCCAGATGGAAATGAGGGGAGCTGGGCTGAATCGGTACAAACTGGAGGGCTATAAGGGCCCAGGGGAAGACAAAAAAGTCACTGGATGTTCAGAGGGAGTGGCAAGGCTCCACAGTGTTTCAGCAATGTTTAGCTGGTGACAGGATTATGGATAGCTCTGAACTGGGATGAGACACCAGGAAGGGCAAATCAAGTAGTGGGATATGGCAAGGAACTTTGTCTATGACTTGGAATGGGAACAGAATTCCTTTTCTTTCCTCTTCCATCAGCACCTTTTTGTGCCATGGCCGCCTCAATTCCCAGCAGCTACGGAACTCCCGTCTTCAATTCCCATCCTGTTTCTTCGTCCCAAAGACATCCTCTTCAGCTTCCCCTCTTCCCTTTGCCGCCTCACAGGCAAAGATCAGAGCAGGGAGTGCAGCTGATTTAAGGTTTAAAACTGTGGCCATCATCAAGTACAGAGATTTGCTGGATTTGGCAGCCGCATTTGGTCTTAACCAAGAGTACTACAGACATAAATTTTTAGGCTAGGTTGCAGCCTTTTGTCAGTACTATGAATTAGTAGGCTTACTATACGGACAAGGTGCGGTCTTAGGGAGGTCGTTTTGCCAGATTTATTTTTCCAGGTCTTTTTAACTCCCCCCACCCTCCCTTTTGCTATTTTTACTATTATCCTATTATTAACTCTGACATTGATACCACTTTCAGAAACAAACGCCAAGTGTTAGGAACAAATATGAGACACATTTTCTGAAGATCTTGCTGATACCTGCATAAATAAGAGGACAGTTCACATGTCCCCGCCGTTTGAAATCTCAACAAATCTACAAAAGTGAGAGGGGTAAAAGGGCAGCGAATTTTGTTTACTCTCCACAGTGTACGCAGAAACTTCATCCAGACAGCGTGAATCCTGAACCTGTGGGCAGCCATTACGACACGCTTTGAAACAACCTAGTCAGAAGTCAGTTACCAAAGAGGGTCTTTCTCTGGCCATCTTCAAAGCCATCTTCAGCAGAGCTGCAAGCTCTGCCTTGACCATCTGAAATTCGCCTGAGCTCCTAACAGTTAACATCCTCTTTCTGTTGGCCCCGTGCAGTGAAAAACTTGCAGTGAAGGTCTCCTGCAGTTCTGTTACTCTGAAAGAACTTTCCTTGCCGAGCTAGATTCCAATGATCAGGCTGCCCACCAATAGTAATCTCAACAAGGTCACAGCAGACTTTCCTTTCCACTTAAAACACTGACCTGGTTTTGCTGCTGTCTCAGTATGAATTCATTAAAAACTGTAGTGTTCTGATCCCAAGCACTGCGTTAATTAGAGATGTTGTTTTAGAAAAAGGAAACTTGTGTTCACACCTTGATAAATGCTGTCTTAATTATAAATTAGATGTGGCAAGGGGAAACAAATCCTGTTCCATTTACCCATCAAGCTCCAAAAAAAAAAAAATCAATTAAGCAGTGATTTTTCTTGTACTTTTTTAGTCAATCAGCAGAGAAATTAGAGCATTTTCACCAGAATGTTACTAAAACTATTACAGTTTTATAATAGTAATAATACTATTATAACTTCTGCTTAAATGTAAGTACTTTTGATCGGTAAATATTATGATTATGCTTTTTTACAGGGACTTGAGGCAAAATGTAACACGAGAGGACAAAAAAAAAGGGAGAAAACAATTCAAATTGTACAACTGCATTTACACATTTAAATAGGCCAAAATCCCTCTTCTTTCACCCGCCCTTCGAGGGGTTGCTCTGCCTGTTGTGCATTTGAAAATACTGGCAGAGGACAGACATCACTGCACACGAGCCTTGCTTCCCGAGGGGAAATACAGACATGAATGTGTGCCTATCTCCCCGCCCCAGTGCTCTCGCTGGGGTAATTTTGCTCCACACTTCTCCCTGTGTTTAAAAACACAATTCCGGCTTATATTTGGGACAAGCATATAAGTGAGTAGTTATTTCAAAAGCACTACAAGGTTCCTTACCAATAATGTAGTTTGAGAAGGGTCAGAAAAACGTGGGGAAAAAAAGCACAAAGCGTTTTCTGGTTGAGAGAAAAATGAGGGCAACTAGGGACACTGGAACAATAATGTATCCAAGCCTCTTTATTAGCAAAATATTTGGTTACTGTAAAATTCGGCTTTGGAAAAGAGTTAACTTGAAAAGTCAGAGGACAGTTTTGAATTAACTGCTCACAGAGTTGTAGCCAGCCTTTCTTAAGACAACTCTCGAGTCACATAAGCCAGCTGTACCCAAATGTAGTTGTTCATGTGTGCTTCGCAGTTCCTTGTTCCATGAAATTGAATTTTCTTCACTGCCACGTCTTTGTGAGCTCTTTTGTTTGGGGTGAACCAACTGGTTCAAAGGCCATGATCTTAACCGAAAAGCGCAGAGCATAGTAGAAACATTTACTTCCCAGCGAGGTCCCATGCCCGCAATCCAAACTAACCTCCTCCTAACCTCCTGAAGTCTAGCTGTCAGTTCAAGAGTCAGTTCTGTTCTTTTCTGTTTCCTTCTATTCAGCTTGTTAGACACAACAACCAACATACTCAAACAAGGCCATATCTACTGAAGTATAAGGAACGAATCAAACGTATGGATTGCTACCAGTTTTAGCCGGGTCCTGCAGGAAATAGGATATGCTTTTCTAGGCATCTCCTTTCAGCAATTGGCTGAGGCAGGATACTGGGCTACATGGACCGTCAGGGCAACCCAGCAGATATGTTTTTCCGTTTACACAACTCCTCACAGAAAATTCTCCTTCACCTTACAGAAGAACGAGTCCAAAAGGTATAGTACGATATCTCCTCTTTTCAATATTCAGTGTATGAGACTGGTGACTTGGACTCCTATAGCATCCTGGTTACCGTTGAAACATATGCACCTCCTTCCAGTGATGAGAATTCACACAGTTAAGGCAAAATAATGAAACCCATGCACATGTCTTGTGCCGCAGAGCTAACTTCTCTAACGTGAGCCTGTGAATTTATAGCTTGCTGTATATGGAATAAGGTCGCAGTGAGAAGGCCAGATTAGATGAAAGAACAATTCATAGATTCCCTGCTTATATCCTTCCTTTCTTTGACCTGGAA